TTATATTGGGCACTTTAACCCATAAATATAACATCTTAAAAGAGTACTCCCATCTTATATAAATACGTCGTGGTATAATGGTTAGCAAGCTTGTCTCGCTAGATCTGTTACTACTGAAAGGTGAGTTCGATTCTCACTAGATGCCCCATACTTTCTCCCTTGTGCCACATCTAAGCAACGCTTAGATAATCTATATAAATGCTTTTGCTAGGACTGCCTACGCTCATCAACATTTATTGCTCAACAATTATTATCAAGTTCGCTTCATTGTCTCATAAGTTTTACTCGTATAGTGTCTCTCACTATTTAGTGTCTTGTGTCATACAGATTGTCGTAGGAATATCTACACAAATCGTGCGTTCATTTCTATTTCTCTTATGTGAGTTATGCATTCGATCTCCATTTTTGTTTTTTTTTTCACTTCTTTATGAGGCAGCAAAAAACACTAAATCAACATTTATTTCCTTATCTAAATATACAAATGCCAAGTTGGTCTTCTTTGAAGAAATATATATATATATATATATGTATGTGTGTGTGTGTGTGTGTGTGTGTGTGTGTGTGTGTGTGTGTGTGTGTGTGAAAAGTGTGTGTATATAAATATAAATAAATATATATATATATAATTATTTATATATTATATGCACGGTACTTATTAGAAAGCGCTCAATATCAGAGATAGAGCTAACATATTTGATTGGATAGATGTGAGTTTGTGACCCTGGGTTTCAAGCTTTTGCGATCGTCAGACAAACGATCGCAAAAGCGAAAAATATATATATATATATATATATATAGTGGGTAGCAAAAGTATTTAACACATTGGTTTTTCTTACATATCTCAAAAAATAACAGATCAATTTCAACGAAACTTATAGGAAATATTTAAACGAACATTGTCGATCAAAACATCGAAGGAAAATTTAAAACCCCTGTTTTGAGAAACATTTATTAACAATAAATAAAATAACCCATATGCAAAAGTATTTAACATACTTTACTAATATTTAGTACAGTAGCCTCTGTTCTGCTTCACAGCCTCCTGTCGTTTCCCGTAGTCTTCAACTAGTTTCTTGTAGGTACTTGTTGGTATTTTGACCCATTCTTCTTCACAAATTTTCTTCAATTTGTTTAAATTCGAGGGATTTCTTTTATGAACTCGTAAATTCAATAGTTTCCACAAATTTTCGATTGGATTTAAATCCGGTGACTGGCTTGGTCATTCCAGGACATTAATGTCATTATTATTGAACCAATTCTTAGTTGTTTTAGCAGTATTCTTCGGGTCATTGTCTTGCTGAAATATCACGACCATGTTCCAAAGATTTGGCACTGTTCAAGATCTGAGTTGACAAAATTTGAGTGTATTTTGCAGCATTCATTGTTCCTTCGATGATTTTCATTTTTCCTACTCCATTTGATGAAAAACAACCCCACGTCATAATATTTCCACCCCCATGTTTGACTGTAGGGATGGTATTTGCTGGCTCGTATTCTGCTCCTTTTTTCCTCCATACTTGAGTGCGCATGTTTCGTCCGTAAACCTCAATTTTCATTTCGTCTGACCAAATTACTTTCTCCCAGAAATCATTAGATTCAATTTCATATTTCTTTACAAAATTCAAACGGGCTTGTACATGTCGGCGTTTCAGTAATGGAGTCTTTCTCGGTGATCTTGAAGTGAGATTTGCACGGTTCAGTGATCTTTTAATTGTATCTTTACTAACTTTAATTCCGGCATTTTTCAAATCATTCTGAATTTCTCGACGAGTTGAAAATAGATTTTTCTCCACAGTACGGGAAATGTATCGCTCATTAACCTCATTTAAGATACGGGGACGACCACTCCTTTGAATTTTTTCAATAGTATCGAATTTTTTCCATTTTCGAACAACAGCACCAACTGTTCTCACAAGCAAATTCAAATCTTGAGCGATTTTTCTATATCCCTTACCATCTTTGTGATTCTTTATAATCTTCTTGCGCATGTCGTTCGACAATTCTTTTGTTTTCACCATTTTCTTGCAGTAGTGGCAACAGAATAGCTGCAGTGTCTCAGAGCTGTTATCTAATAGCCAGTTGAGTGTCGTGAAGTACTGTCATTGGTCGACATATCACATCATATCAATATGGGTAGGAATCATGACGACACGTCTCTTCTAGCATAATATTTGCATTGGTGTTAAATACTTTTGCATATAGGTTATTTTATTTATTGTTAATAAATGTTTCTCAAAATAGTGGTTTTAAATTTTTCTTCAATATTTCCTAAAAGTTTCGTTGAAATTGATCTGTTATTTTTGAGGTATGTAAGAAAAACTAATGTTAAATACTTTAGCTAACCACTGTATATATATATATATATATATATATATATATATATATATATATATATATATATATATAAAATAGATTTTTTGAAAGTTATTCAGCATCACTTGAAAATGAAACTGAACATCAAATTTTAAGTTTAAAATTTAAGATTTAGGTTTTAAAACATGGTAATTTTCTGTGTCACGATGAATACGTGTTTTTAAATAATAATTATATTATGCTCTACTGTGTGTTGAGCACTGTTTTTTTAAATTAATGCTAAAGAACTGTGGATTATAAATCTGACTGTTCTTTCTTTTTAGTATGCATATATATATATATATATATATATTTGAAAATATTTTTGAAGGTACAAAATTTAATAATAGAAATAAAAGTGCGAAACTTAATATTACTAGACATATTAAAAGCGAAGCAACCGGTTTCATTCTTCAGGCCACCACGGGGGATTCAACTTAAATTCTTCCTTTTTCCTTCTCATTGCACATTTTCTAGTGTTTTAATTTAAGTTGAATCTCCCGTGGAGGCCTGAAGAGCGAGAGCGAAACCGGTTGCTTCGCTTTTATGTCTAGTAATATTAGGCTTTACACTTTTATTTCTATTATTATTATATATATATATATATATATATATATATATATATATATATATAGATAGATAGATAGATAGATAGATATCAATATGAATGAGAACCCATCAGAACGGTAAGACTTGCCAAATTATATGTTAAAAATCTATATATGCATCCATATATACGTGTGTGTGTGTGCATGTGTGTGTTCATGTATATTTATTCAAAGAGTGTTCCTGCCATTGTCCTGAAGAAATGTCCTCCTGAACTGGTTCCCGTCCTATCAAAACTCACTGCCTCGCAGACTCTTGCTCTCCAGCCGGTTGGAATTCTCATCTGCTGTGCCTGTCTTTAAAAACTCTGGAGACCATTCTGACCCATTTGACTATCGTCCTATAAGTCTCTTACCACTCTTTGGCAACGTCTTCGATGCTTTAAACAACGCCGAAGTGGTTAAGCGCCTAACTTCCCATAATCTACTCTCCGACAAGCAATATGGTTTCCGCTTTGCCCGATCTACTGCTGGAGTGTTCACGGACACATCTGAATTTGTATACCAAGCACTTCACAATAACTGAGAAGCTCGAGCCGTGGCTCTAGATATCTCTAAAGCATTTGATAGGGTTTGTCATGCCGAGCTTATTCGTAAGCTTCAGGGATACGGGACAATTATTTGATTTAATACAATAATTCCTGTCAAACCGTGAAATGAAGGCCGTCCTAAATGGGTTCCCGTCCAGCCCCGTTATTATAGGAGTGGGCTATAAATTACTAAGGGGAGTCGCAGTATAAAGATGGAAAGGTACACAAGTCGATCCCCGATCAGTATCAGCTGAGTGACCGTGGAGAGGAGGTATGATGTTGAACGACCCGAAACACCTAATGAACCTCGCTGATGACGTGTACAAGACATCCAATAGATATATTTTATATATATATATATATATATATTTTATATATATATATATATATATATATATATATATATATATGCAAAGATCAAAAGAAATTCCTGAAACTTTAAAAAACCTCATAGTTGAAACCTGTAATAATGGAGAAGGCTAGCATGATATGGCCTGTTGTCTGTGAGTGTTGACTTCAATGTTCACTTTTATATTTATATTTCTCTCTCTCCCTATCTCTCTCTCTCTCTCTCTCTATATATATATATATATAGATAGATAGATAGATATAGAAAGAGACAGAAAGAAAGGGAGGTAAAGTGACTCTGAGAGACGTATAAATAGTGAGTATATATCTACATATTCATCTAGACATATATATCTATATCTATATCCATATATATATATATGGATGGATGGATGGATGTGAGGGCATCTGTGTGTGCGTCTGTGTGTCTGTACATATATATCCATATATATAGATATGATATATAGAGAGAGAGAAAAGGAAAAAGTTTTCAGGAGAGTCACTATAAATCGTCTGTATATATCTGTATATTCATCCATATATATATATATATATATATATATATATATATTTTTTTCTCGAATAATAAAGCCGGTAAAAGGAAGATAAAAATACTGTTTAATTTAAAAACAGAGCATCTACTCTAATATGAGCATCCATAAAAAATAACGTTTTAAACAAAATAAATTCTATATCTATCTATCTATCTATATATATATATATATATATATATATAAAAGGAGAGAGTTCCTAATATTCCTTAGTTCATTACATGTATTGTAATCTATTTGTGTGCGTGTGTCACAGTGTACATGTTATTCTGTTTGTGCGCCGATGTGGCTGATGTAGCTTTATATGTTTGCATGTCTGCATATGTGCGTGCATTACAATTATGTTTATGTTTGGATTTAGGAAGCCTTGTACGTACCTATAATTCTATGTCAGTTGGGGGATTGGGATTGCGTAAAAAACTTGAATCTAAATTGTCGGGTAACCAAGATATTTGATGTCAGAACATGTTTCGCAAATAACTGCAACACTGTCTGCATAACCACAAAATATGCATGTAAATAAAGATGCAGGAGAAAATGTTTACAGACAAACATTCATGTACATAGGCGCACATGGCGAATATTTTGCACAGAAGTACTCACGAGAATATTTCTCAATAGATAGATAGATAGATCTGAACAGACTTAGATAGATAGATAGATCTAAACATAGATAGATAGATCTGAATATACATAGATAGATAGATAGATAGATAGATAGATAGATAGATAGATCTAAACATAGATAGATAGATAGATCTAAACATAGATAGATAGATAGATAGATAGATAGATAGATAGATAGATAGATAGATAGATAGATCTGAATATACATAGATAGATAGATCTAAACATAGATAGATAGATAGATCTAAACATAGATAGATAGATAGATAGATAGATAGAGATGAATAGATCTGAATGATAGAATGATAGATAGATAGATAGATCTGAAACACAGATAGATAGATCTAAACATAGATAGATAGATAGATAGATAGATAGATAGATAGATAAACATAGATAGATAGATAGATAGATAGATAGATAGATAGATAGAGATAGATAGATGGATAGATAGATGTTGATAAAGAAATAGGTATAACAAGACTCAAAAAAAAAAATATAAATAGGCTAAGAGAGATAGGAACAGCTGGTATTGAAAATGATTGATTTGACCAGGTTCGGAGAGGAACAAACTGAGAATACACCAAATATAGAAAAAAAGAGAAACAAAAGAACATAAATATATATATATATATATATATATATATATATATATATATATAATTATTTATTTAAAAATATTTTTAAATAAATAATTATATTTATCTCTACTTTTGTATCGAGCACTATTTTTAAAATAATAACTAAAATACTAAGGAACTTTGGATTATTTACCTAACCAGTTCTTTCCTATTTTCTATATATTTTCACACACACACACACACACACACATACATATATATATATATATATATATATATATATATATATATTACAGAGAGGTGAGGCAGAATTAGGATAATTTTTTACGTAAAAATTGTCTTCGAGTTTGCAATCCATTATTACTGGAAATCTCTCTTATGTTCCATGAATCTGGTGTTATTAGAGTAAAAAAAATATAACATCGACACAAAATTGCTTTTTGCTGATCTGGCCTCTCTGTGTTTGAATCACGATGCAGCTATCTCATGAATAATAAGTTCTCATTTTAGTTAGTAAACCATAAAAGACAGGATTTGTGCCAAGATCAACTCTGCCTGTTAATATCTATTATTCTTTTATCTATTTTTACTTAAGTACACACATTTTTATGATGATGTTTACCCTGTACAAGGCCTGAAGTCCACTCGGTAGAGGATTTCAGATTAAGAGACATAGCTTATGCGGATATATGTGGAAGATAACGGCTAACCTTATACTTGAACAGGTTATGATTATCGGAATAAGAAAAGCAATTTCTCGGGAGTCGGTTCTACAAGGCAGTTTATAAGAAGCTGACCGAGTGGAACTTACATCTCATCAAAGCAATACGAATGAGGGTAGTTCGCGATAATGTACATGACATGGAGGTGTTAGACGTGACGGTGGAACTAAAGAGTGTAGTTCATTTGAACACTCGTCATGGAATTAGCGATGGCTCAGTGAAAGGCTTGTGACGTCCCGTCTGTGAGAAAGGTGTTGTAGGGTGGAAAATATTTCACCACCTACAAGGAAGCAGGAACGTTTTTGAAGTTTATCAAGAGTGGAATGTCAAGACTGGGAAGCTCTTACCAATATATGGCAGCAGTACTCCATTTTGGGCCTGATCTGGCTCTTGAAAAGGTAGAGGGTAGCTGGAAAGGTTAGATATTCGCTGGAGCGGTACCGAAATCCGACCATTTTTCCAGCGTCTTTATCGATGGAAAAGCTCGAAAAGCACTCAAGGTAGAGTGTTACTGGCTGAGCTGTGTAATATGGATGTAAAGAGGTGGTAGGAAGTGAAGATTAAGAGCACAAAAATAGGAAACGACTGACCCTTGACCTAAAGATTTTAGTGTTCAGAGAAGAATTCAGGTGGATGTTTTTTTTTCCGTAATGTAGCCGTTTTTGGGAAAAGCTCTCCGAATTAAACTTCCTCATTACAAGTGGAATAAAGAGAAAATATCCATAATTTAGTATATTTACTCCCCCAAAATTTTGAATTAGTTAAAAAAGGGCAAAGACGGAAAAGACTGATCTACAATGTGATCGGTCCTGTCTTGACATCTCGACTTAAGTCACTTTCCCACAGATGTGACATGCCTCCCCCCTGTCTTTCTTACAAATATTTTCATAGCAACAGCTCTGACCTATTTTCCCTGCTGCCCCGACTGCATGAATTTAAGCGTGCTACTAGGTTGGCATTTAGGTCCCACCCTTTTACTGTTGAAACAGTTAAATGTAACCGCCTCTTCTTCAAAAGCTTCTTCTCTCGCACTTCCCAACAGTCGAACTCCCTTCCACTTACTTGTTTCCCTGATAACTATAATCTCCAAAATTTTAAATGTAATGTCAGTCGACATCTTCTAGTGCTTTGATCTCCGGTCTTCCTTTTATTCAATTCCCCTACACTCAGTCTTTTCTCTTACTTCCAGTCTCTGTAATCCATTGCGTTCTAGTTCTAATGATTATTGGCGGCTCTACAAGAATGTGCTGAACAACAGCAAATACTCAATCCATCCTCTCATCAAACAATTCGATGTCCTAACATCCACAGCTGAATTCTTTGCCCGGAAATTCTCATCCAACTCAATACTCGACTCCTTCGGGCTACCGACACTTGATTTGCCTCTTGGAATTGAGGATCTACGGAGTTATATGTGCATAACCCCGTTGATGTATTTTTTTCTACTTTGTTTAGCTTTTGGAATGCATCTTTGGCTATCCTAATGCGGCTTGAGATTTCAGTGTCGCACTTTCCGTCCTCTGTTAAAATACTTCACAGATATTTCTACCTACCGAAATTCTACTCACTTGAGTCTCACACTTGTGCTGTTGTGCTCAACTAAGCTAATGTTAGTAAATATCTTCGTCACAGCAACGTGAAATATTATTTAGTATACTCAATTAAACTCTGAAAGACCTTGGTGGGTAGTTTATCTTTCGGGATGAGTTCGTCAAGTGCGTTAGCAGAATTATCTTTATTTATACTTGACAAGTAACCTGTATTTATTTATTTATTTATTTATTAGCGACGGGCATCACCCTGCAGTGAACTATCGAGATGCAATTGAATACCGTCGGGCCTCTGGTTCAGTCTGGTGTGATAAACACGCCTCGCTGACCTAATTTGAACCAGAAAAGAAAGGAAGATTGAAGTAAAAATAAACAAACAAAAAATACTATTACAAACCAATAAAATCGTTTCGTGACATTTGCCAAATTCCGATTACTCTTGGCTTTTTGCTTAGCACTATCTGAAACACAGCAACCATCTGGTGTCGCAAACTTTACAAACCTGAGTCGAGAAATGTGGAATAATTTATAGTAACGACGCTAACCAAAGTCTCTGGTTGAACTTCCTTTTAAAACCGTATTCTTCATATTCCAAATTAAATACCAAGAAAAGAAGAAAGAAAGAAATAGGCGAGAAAGACAGTTTATTAAATAATCTTTGACCATTATAGATATTATTAAAGGCACGTTTCGGTAAAGTAACCATTTAGCCATCTTCAGGTATCAATTTTTTAAGAGAATATGGGATATTTTGCATATACTGCTTCTTTATTTGTCATTTTTGTTTATCAAATGTTCTTCTTTGTGGCTTGGCCCTTCAGGACGTCGGTGACAATGGCTCTCCAAAACTTCCCAGCTTCGCTATCTCTTAGCATTGTTTGTTTTTTACTACCTTCCTCCAGCCCGTCCTGTCATCCAGATATACAAGCTCATTAGGTTATTCGATGTATCACCTGTTCCCTTTTACCTGTGCGTGCCAAATTTAGCAAACCCTCTTTCCTCATTGTGTGTACTAGAAATTTCAACTGTATGAGTCATTTTTGTATCCATCTTAATACTTTTTTTTTAAGCGTTTCACTCCAAAGAAGGCGGGAAGCCACTAGGACGCAGGGAGTTACAGAAGATTTGGAGCAAGATAAGATAGGAGTGATAGAGGAAAGGATAAGGAGAAGGATAGTGGATAGATCAAGGCAACTGGAGATGTCGATTGACATTACATTTGAATAGCTGGAAATTATAGCTCTCAGGGAAACTGGAATAGGAAAGGGAGTTCCACAGGCGAGAGGTGCGAGACTTGAAGCTATTGGAGTAGAAGAGACGGCTACATTTAATAGTTTCAACAGTGAAAGGGTGAGAGCGGGATGTCAGCCTCGTAGGGCGCTTGATTAATTACATTCTCTGTCCATGATATTCTCAGCATCCCCCCTGTAGAAACAAATTCCATATGGGAGGTCTGATATTACACAGTAGTTTAGCATTCTTTTCTTTCTAATACTTTGCTTAGCTTTTGAAGGCATTTTTCGTTTCCAATGTACCTTTGAATTTTGGTGTCTCATTTTCCATCTCCTGTTAAATATTTTATGGATATTTAAATGTTCATATCTGATTGATTTTGACATCTACAATTCATAGCTCATGTCTTTGGCTGTTCCTATTGCTGGCAACTATAAATTCTGTCTACTTACAATTGATAGTTATTCCTTTCTTCTGGCTTTCCTTTACTAACAATTATAGCTCTTTTCCGTTCTTTGTCTTTCCTGATGAATCAGAGTATTTATGGATTTTACTAGCTAATGCGGGGATTGAACTAACAACCATTGAATGATCGGCCACGTACTGAAGAGGCACGGCACGAAAAAGTAGAAAACAAATACTACTACTACTAATAATAATAATAATTGCAGTCCCTGTAGAACATGACAGTCTCTGCAGAATAGGGCAGTACCTTCAGATTACATAATAGTCTTTGTAGATAACATGACAGTTCCTCCAGATTATAATGTATCTTTGAAGATCTTCAATATATATATAGGATATTCTAGTGGAAATCTCAAAAATGTGGCACATGAGGACATCAATAATTCCATTTGTAGTTGGAGCCCTCGGACTGATTGGAAAAGATACCAATAGACTCATCGAAGGGATTCCTGCTAATCCATGTCTTAAAGAAATACAAAAAATTGAACGCACACATACAGCTCACACATTACGAAGAGCTTTATGTAAAATGTGTGTGATCTTAGTTTGTATTTTTCGTTTTACACAAATTATCAGTGAAAAAGGTCATAAAACCATTTCTGATCTAAGGTCTCTAGTTGGAACCCGGAAGGAAATATTGTATGCAACAGAAATTAAAGGAAATAATCATCATAATAATTCCCTTCATTTTAATTTCAGTTGCTTTTTAGGGCATAAGCAATCAGTGAAACTGGATTTTGAATCTTTATGCTTTTTTCTTTCTGTAATTGCTTGTCTATTTTTACTTAGTTTTTATTTCCAGGCCGAGCGAAAATGTTGAGCTTAGTTATTTACGATGAAAAGCAATTGAAATTGAGATGAAAAAGCAGTAATCAAAAATTTACAAATTTACAATTGTTGAAATCATACAGGATGTGTGTGTGTGTGTGTGTGTGTGTACGTTTATATTGGATCGGATTTCCTACATTTTTCAACCGATTTCAACAAAACTTCACAGGACTACATAAATTACCTTGCGGTAGTTCTGACAGCGCCAAAAATTGGAAAAACACAATTGTTTTTGCACAAAATCAATTTGAAAACACGATTAAGAGGCATCACTTGAGAATGAAAGGGGACAACTCATATCAAGTTATACTTATTATTATAAAACCAGGTTGTGTGTGTGTGTGTGTGTGTGTGTGGTTGTGTGTGTGTGTGTGTGTGTGTGTGTTCGTTTATATATGTGATCGGATTTCCTACATTTTTCAACCGATTTCAATAAAAAACTTCACTTTTTTTTTGGCAGGTAGTATTTCTTATTGTCTTGCACACTTTTTTCTTTATTTTTACATTCAGAATGCTTTAAAATTCCATTTACAAGACAATTGTTTATAATAAAATTCTATTCAATCGGTAGACTCATAACGATTGAAAACAATGTTTTTGTTTAAGTTTTGGGTTTGACCAATTCGTAAAAAAAAAAAAAAATAATAATAATTAAGACATGCTTGTCCGTCAACCTTAAACAATAATCTTTGTCAATTTTATTTTTCAGTCTTTATGATGGTCAATACTTGATCTATCTCTTACTGTTACATCCCCGGGCAACGCCGGGCTCTACTGCTAGTAGGGAATAAAATTGTATGCTTCATTTGGCTCTTCTAGGACGGTTTATTTTAGATCAAATGTGTGAGAAGATAACTTCGTGCATTGTTAGAAGATTATTCTAAAAAGTTTGTTCCTGCCTAACGTAAATTCATTTGTAACTTAAAAACTAAAACATGGCCTATGCTCGGTAGGTCTATTAGGATAGGATAATTGTTTAAAATCGCTCTTTTTTTCTACAATTATAACAACTCTCAACCCCAATTAAACTCAAAGTGAAGAATTTGCGTCGGACAAAGAGAAACGGGAATTACTACAGTTTAAAATAGGAAATAAATGTAGGAAAACTAACAGTGTTTAGCTTTCTCTCCTGTAATTTCACTGGAGTCGATGTTTTTAGTTGAGAATCAGTGGGTGAAAGGTTATGAAGCAACTTTTAAAACCCAACATTGTAATGAGATAGAAAATATTTTTTCAAACATATCTCATTTGGCTGATAATTTTCGAAGTTTTCTTTGCAATTACTTCGAAATTGTAGAAACAAATTACTTTTCTGTATTTTTTAAACATGCATTGTGAAATTTTAAATGAACATTTGTTATTTTCCCTTTGTTTATACCAATAATATTCTTATTTTGTCATTAAAGCTTCCTTTATTTGCAAACCACGAACAATCTATTATGTCCTGATTTACACGGCATTTCTATAGTAATATATATACCACTGACAATGGCCTTCTTCATTTAGAATGCATTTCTATAGTAAAATTGTTAACAGTGCATTTACAATATATAAATAATAACATTATTCTTTTACTAACTTTTACAATTTTGATATAAGGTATTCAGACGAATTACATTCATTGGATCCACCATTTTTTTAATTATATGTAAAGGCAATAAAGCTACTAAGACACAAGGGATTTGAACTGAACGAGAACAATAGAAGAATAATCAAGAAGACAGTAGATAACGATTGACATTGCATTTAATTTTTTGCTGATTAAAGATGGCTGCAAAGCACGGAGCCGGAAGAGAGTTCCACGAGCGAGAAGTGCGAGAAAAGAAACTGCTTACGGTTACATCTAGCCATTTCAACTGTGAATTGATGAGACCGTTCCGCCACTCTAGTACTGCACTTAAATTCATAAAGTCTAATTCATAGCGAAGACCTCATCCAAACAATTACCATGAAAGTATTTATAGAAAAGACGCAGGGAAGCTACATTACACCGGTGGGAAACCACCGCGGCTAAGAACCGTCATGCCACCCATATTGTATCGAACCACCCACATTCCCTTCGTATCCCATCAGTGATATGTAAGTTCCACTGGAGCAGCTGCTTTGCTGAAGCGACTCCCAAGGGAATGAATCCCCGAGCACTACCATCTTAACTTGCTCAAGTCTAGGGTCAACTGTTATGTTCACCACATTGTGCATTTTACTATGTAACCCACTACTTAAAAAAAAAATAATTTCACCCCATGGAAGGCGGGAATGCCACTAGTACGCATTGGTTATGCAGCAAGGGCGGACTACCATTGTTGTTTCGTCCGTGTGTTGTTTGATTTATTGAAATTGTCATCTGTGGCAATGGCTTGTGTAAGCTGAAAGCTTAGATTGGATTTAAACATGTATCAATATGGTGTTTTCTTTTTGTTTTTCAACGATAATATGATTAAGCTTATCAGACAATATGAAAGGAACTTACTTAAAATAAATAGACAAAACTTGTCTATATTATTTAATGAAACATGCATTAATGAAAAATTGCTGCCTAAATATACACAATTTAAATTACATGATCCAGCAGCCCACCGAACTATCAACACTCTGAATTATAATTGTAGCTTTATGAAAAGACAAATTGAAATAGCCAAAAAAAAATTGAACACCTTTAACAGCAACAAACTGAACATCTACGATAAACTAAAAGATATAACTACCGCGGACCAACTGGAGGAAATGACGTCACGAGTTGCGACGCGATTTTCGCTTCCGCGTCTCTTATATACGAGTTTGTCGTTACTTGGAAATTTTCATGCAGCAAGGGCGGACTATCATTGTTGTTTCGTCCGTGTGTTGTTTGATTTATTGACATTGTCATCTTTGATAATGGCTTGTGTAAGCCGAAAGCTTAGATTGGATTTAAATATGTATCAATATGGTGTTTTCCTTTCGTCTTTTAACGATAATGTGTTTCAACTCATCAGACAATGTGAAAGGAACTTACTTAAAATAAATAGACAAAACTCTCTATATTATTTAATGAAACATGCATTAATATATATATATATATATATATATATATATGTATGTATGTATGTATGTATGTATGTATATATGTATGTATTATTTCAAGCGTTATTATAGTGCATACATCGTATTGAAAATAGTTACCCTATTTTTATTTATTAAACCGTATACTGTTTAATAAATAACAATTGTGCGTCTTTCGGCCCGTGCATTTCAGAATCTTTATGGATTCTTTGGATGAGAACAATGGATGAAGTTTCAGTAAATTTTCAGTTATTACTAAAAAACCTGCACAAGTGAATTGATTAAAACGTTCAATAGGCTGTTCCCCGCAATGCGCACGCTCTCCATCATAACACTATGGCCTCTAATGGTGCACTGCGTGCCACATGTCAAATGATGCTATATCTGCAGTCTTTTTGAATAGGACTTTTTAATCTCGTAGCTACATGTTGCCAACATTTTTCGGGCTGGTTTGAATTAAGTTTTCATTACCCTTGATTCGATGCTCCTCAAGGCTATAGGACCCAGTCTACTCTACCATTTATTCATATCTGGCGAGAAGAGATGAATTCCTACTTTTCCCAAGGGTATTTTCTCATAAGTGAATATATTCAAACTCGACAGGAATTATCCATTTATACCACCGGCATATCCAACTTTTGGTATCCCCAAGCAGTTACATATCTAGATACTGACCAGGTTCGACATTGCTTAACGAGAACTGGTTTTTCAACGTGCTATGGCCGTAAGCACACACACACACGCACACGCACAAACACAGACACACACCCGTATATATATATATATATATATATATATATATATATATATATATATATATAAATACGCATGATATTACGTAAGCATTTATTATAAGCTGGAAATATGGATTAGATCCGACTTAATGATTAAATAAAGAACAAACTATATAAAATTTATCATGTCCGAAATTCATATTTTGTTATTTTTGTTCAAGTACTTTCATCTATTCTTGATAATGACTGTGAAAGTCAAAAGTACTTGAACAACGATAATAAAATATGAACTTCGGAGAGCTTATCCACATCTTCGGACGCAATACTCAACACATCCGAAAATTGGAAAAATAAAATTAAAATAAAGAGACAGATATATATATATATATATATATATATATATATATATATATATATATATATATATATCAGAGGCGATAGGGCTGTTTCATGCTGGACGCAATCGTCAGGCCGCTCTATCTCTGATATTGAGCACTTTATCCTATAAATATAGCACACCTTAAAACTATATTTCTTCATATATATATATATATATATATATATATATATATATATATATATATTACTGAATAGTCGGTTTCGACGTATGAGTGTCAAACAACTAAGTTCTAGAAGCCGACAACCAGACAAGAGCCGAATACCGCGTACCGCAAGGTTTTGAATTCAGAGTTGTCCTTCAAATAAAAACCTAGAACAGTTACAATCCAAGGCTATAGAACCCAGTCTGTCCTGCTATTTACCTTCAGCTGCAGGGAGAAGAGGATTTATACCTTTCCCAAGGGTTTTACCACGTGAGTGAATGTAATGGATTCGACTGGAATTCGAACTCGTGTTTTCGGTTCCTCAATCCGAGAAGCTATCCATTACATCAGCGTGCCTTTTTTTTTTTCTTTCTTTTTCTTTTTTCTTTTTCTTTCTTTTCTTTCTTTCTTTCTTTTTTCTTCTCTCTCTCTCTATATATATATATATATATATAATTATTATATTATTATTACTATTATTATAAACGTTATTTTTAGTTAATACATGTGTTTGAGTTATCCTTGTTTTATATTTATTTTCCGGTTCCTCAATTCCATTACATCAGCGTGCCTTCTTTCTTTTTCTTTCTTTCTTTCTTTCTTTCTTTCTTACCTTCTTTCTTTCTTTCTTTCTTTCTTTCTTTCTTTCTTTCTCTCTCTCTCTCTCTCTCTCTCTCTTTCTTAAACAGTGAATTTAATAACAACCGGCTTAAATTGTAAATCGAACCTGCATCTCTGTTTTTCCCATCAGTAAAAGCTCATTTTGAATTAAAGTGTGCCTCTACCAGTTCAGTCATGGAGACGTGCCTGAGAGAGAGAGAGAGCAAAGTTTGAATTGCCTATTTTACGAAAGTACGTTTCTCGTTGTCACTTCTCCGCATCTCTATCCGTTTCAGTTACTTTTGTTTATGTTTCGGGTACGAAACTATAGCTAGCGGATATAGATTCATAAAACTTTCAATGAGACTCGAGAAAAAAAAAAAAAAAAAAAAAATATATATATATATATATATATATATATATATATATATATATATATATGTATACACTCAACTTTGCGTGTTTTCAATTTGGCTTGAACTATGGTGAAATCATTATTGTAACGCAGAACGACATGTTATGCCAGGAATTATTACGACATTAAAACTAGTTCAAGGCGTGGTTGTTTTTTAACATCCGTTTCCATGGTGACCAGGGCGTCGACAGGTTTCCCACCCAGTCAAGATTCGGGTTTTAAACTTCTTAATCTTCAGGCTGCCACCCGGATGTACCCAGCCGAGAATGTCGCTTACTCATACCTTGCAGAGAGCTGATATTTTGTCAATTTTCAACGCACTTCTCTATCTCTTTTTTCTTCACTTCGTTTTTTTCTTTTTTTTACTTTTTTCGGTATATTTCATTTGTCTCTTATGTAACTGATGTGCTGATGGACTGATGTCCCTCGGGACTGTAAATTAATAAATGCCGGATACTCTCCAGTTGCTTATCTCTATAATTTTGCTTTACAGTCGAGTTATCCAAATTGGGCATAGAATAGATAGCATTCAGGGTAGTTTTGCCCAGCACCACAAGTTGCTACAAAGCCAAAAAGTTAACCCCAAATCGATTGTATTTACGACGTCGGCAGTGGATTGGGGAGATCGAAACCCATAATGCTTGTCGCTGAAGTGGTTGTTCTTTTCTAGGTGAACGATGACCTTCTTATTGATTATGGCCTCAATAAGCTTATATAATACTGACGGGTCTGTACTAGGAGAGGGATGATCGCACACGCGCATTCTTGAAAACGGGCATATGCTTTACACCTTCTACCGGCTTGGGAAGGATTTCTCTTTCAAGAACTTGAATAACTTCGCTAGGATTTGGAACAATTCCGGGTTGATATTCATAAGGGCAACCACTGGAATTTTGTCTTGGCCAGTGGCTTTCTTAGGGTCAAGGCCTTTGATAAATCTAGAGAATTCAATCTCGAGTTGTTAATTTCTATAATATATATTCTCTAGAATATATAATTTCTATAATTTTGTTTTTAGTCGAGTTATCCAAATTGGGCATAGAATAGGCTGCGCTAAGGACAGTTTTTCCCAACACCGCAAGTTACTACAAAGCTAAATTATTAACCTAAAACTTTCATATGGATGTCATGCATGACCCCAAAACTCATTCAAAAAAATCTAAACTGTCAGCTGAATACAACTGCTTTCTCAGCCCAATGATTAAAAAGCCTGTAAACCTTAGCGAGGACAATCGTTATTTCGGACCTCGTGAACTGGTTTTGCAGAATGACAAAGAACTGTACCAAATAACGGGAACCACATCACTTAAAGACTTTCAACAGCAGAAACAACTAAAATGTATAGCACATGCATCTCAAAGAGAAAATGATGACATAATCAAGATGTTTACGTTCCATACTACCGCAAACAAAACTTTAAGAAGGAAAGACTCTGTCAAGACTGGAAAGAAAAAACGATAACAGTTAATGTACTTAAGAAATCTATTTTCCTGAAAAAATTTTTAACAGAAAGATTTTATAAATTTCAATCGCAAGTAATACTAGAGTCCCAATCTATGAATGTCGAATATTTCCTTATAAGGACACGCCTAATATTACCAAAGGTCTAATTACTTTGAGCTTGTCTTCTTTTTCATACTCTCCAATTATCTATATCTTCGGGCAAGGTTTTAGTATTTTTCTATTTTAATTTTTTTTTTCATTTTTAATGATGTAATTTGATTTCGACTTCCCTCTGTATTCGTAAGAAAGGGCTCGGATTATATTTATACGCCCTGTTTTCTTACAAAATTTAAATTTCACAGCAAACCATGGTAATTCCTGCATATTGAAGAAAAGGAAGCTGTGAAGAGCCATCGTCGCTTACGTCCTCTCAATACTTCAGCACTGCGCGTACTGTTCTCGTTACTTTCAGTAACGGTCTTGTCTGAATGCTTTTAATTCGTGAAATACTTTTGCAGGGTTCGATAATGATGAATTATGTTTTCATCTTCATGTTCCCCAGTAGTTCGTACAATGCTTTGATATTTCTTAGCTTTTAAAATCCATATATATATATATATATATATATATATATATATATATATATATATATATATATATATGTTTGCTGAAACAGCAAGGTCCACTATTTGATAAGTTTTCTATTTGTTCAAGATGGCTACATGCAGCCCGTGCTTATGGCTTCCATTTGTATTTTGAGGTTCCTTAATATGTTAAAGTTTTCATTCTCGGGGGTAGATTCTGGTTTGTGCCTATGCCATTTGTTTTGTTTTTATTATGGTCAAATCCCATCGCTTGCATAATTAAAACTGTGATCTCACCCTGTCATGCCTATTATTAGGCACACATTTGCTGTATACCCTTATTGACTGTATATACCTGCACTAATTTTCTAATGCTTGGCTGCTATTAATATAGATTTCTTTTCTCTTTTGAAGTGTCCTCTGCGCACTGTGCTCATATTTCATCTGTAAATATTCTTGAAAGCTTTATCGTGTTGGTTTATCTTCCATTATTGTCTTCTCATATTTTTTTCTTTCATCAATCTTGCTACAATTTCTGTTTGGTATAATATTTTATTTTTTGTCATTTTCGCATCATTTAATAGACAAGACAACATAGCCTCCAAAGTTGATAAGTTTTCTTTCTTTTTATTCGCTTAACATTGTGTCAACGTTATCTCCAGAAATCATGGATTTGAAACCAACAATCGTCTCTGGTTTCTATTTGTATTGTCATCATTTTGACGGTCACAAATTTGTGTGAGGGTCGGGGAGTCTTATATCCATACCAACGTCTTGTCTGGGTGTACATAGATTTGTATCAACAGGAGGAACATCGATTTGTGTCAACGTAATATTTAGGAAGATCTTAAATTCATGACAGAACCTTTTCTGGGTGGCAGTGTCATATATTTATCTATTAGCGTCGTGTCTCACTCTTCGTAAATTTGTGTCAATATCGTTTCTGTGGAGGATCAACGATTTGTGCCGAATTATTAGGAAGCTTATAACTTCGTGTCCGCATCATTTCTTAGAGGGAGAGCCCTAGATATGCGTCATTATATTCTCTGGTGATACATGCTTTTGTGTCCGGATCTTTTATTCGGATCCTAGATTTGCTTCGGTTTCCTTTCTGTGGAATCATAGATTTATATTAACATCGACTTTTAGGAGATTCGACGATTTCTGTCAGCTTCAGTTCAGCAAGTTGTCGGTATTAATCAGTAAACAAAAGTACGTTAATTCTTGCAATCCTTTTAAAAAGGTCATGAAACTAGCGAAATTCTTACAAAAGTTATGTGGTGTAACGGTTAGCGGCTTGTAAAGTGGAACAGGAGAGCTGAGTTCGAATTCCGGCCGAGTGCATTAGATTATCAGTGCATTATTATTAGTGCATTTAATAGACAAGACAACATAGCCTCCAAAGTTGATAAGTTTTCTTTCTTTTTATTCGCTTAACATTGTGTCAACGTTATCTCCAGAAATCATGGATTTGAAACCAACAATCGTCTCTGGTTTCTATTTGTATTGTCATCATTTTGACGGTCACAAATTTGTGAGGGTCGGGGAGTCTTTTATATCCATACCAACGTCTTGTCTGGGTGTACATAGATTTGTATCAACAGGAGGAACATCGATTTGTGTCAACGTAATATTTAGGAAGATCTTAAATTCATGACAGAACCTTTTCTGGGTGGCAGTGTCATATATTTATCTATTAGCGTCGTGTCTCACTCTTCGTAAATTTGTGTCAATATCGTTTCTGTGGAGGATCAACGATTTGTGCCGAATTATTAGGAAGCTTATAACTTCGTGTCCGCATCATTTCTTAGAGGGAGAGCCCTAGATATGCGTCATTATATTCTCTGGTGATACATGCTTTTGTGTCCGGATCTTTTATTCGGATCCTAGATTTGCTTCGGTTTCCTTTCTGTGGAATCATAGATTTATATTAACATCGACTTTTAGGAGATTCGACGATTTCTGTCAGCTTCAGTTCAGCAAGTTGTCGGTATTAATCAGTAAACAAAAGTACGTTAATTCTTGCAATCCTTTTAAAAAGGTCATGAAACTAGCGAAATTCTTACAAAAGTTATGTGGTGTAACGGTTAGCGGCTTGTAAAGTGGAACAGGAGAGCTGAGTTCGAATTCCGGCCGAGTGCATTAGATTATCTTTTGCAGTGGAAAAAAATGATCTTCTCTTCTTTCGTCCTCTCTCCTCCAGATCTGCGTTAAATAGCATGGCCGACTGGCCTTAGTTGGGGACCAGTCTAGAAGAAGGATTATTGAGTTCAAAACCGATACATAACCTTAATGAAACGCATATTATACAGGTATTTAAAAGATTATGAAATTCACAATTAATTGCTGCACGGAGCTAAGCTCAAATAATGAAAAGATAAGTTGTAACTAAACACTCTTAATGCTATCTAACGAGAAAGTCAATTAAATTTATAGCTTTCGCAAGTTTCCATTCAATTGGTAATATCACTGATTCTTAAATATGTTATCGCTGAGGCGATTAACTTTTATAAATTCCATGTAAAATTCGGCAAGGTTTAAACCATAGCAAGCTAAAATTAAAAAAAAAAAAAAACTTTCTTAGCCCAACATCCAATTTTAATTGTTTTTGTCCTTCTCAAGGTTAGTTCGCATGACCTTTACGACCTGCCAATACCTCATAAATATTGGACTATACACTTTTGATCGCGTGGAAAGAGAAAAAACTACACTACTTGGTTTCAAAGAGAAAATGTAAGAAAGAAAAAAGAAGGGAAGATAAAAGTGTTTAATGTCTCCTGCCAATACCTCATAAATAATGGACTATTCCGTTTTGATTGCGTAGAAAAAACAAGACATACGATACTTCGTTTCAGTGAGAAAATGAATGAAATAAAGAAAGAAGGAAAGAAAGAAAGATAACAGTATTTAACGTCTCCTGACAATACCTCATAAATAATAGACTATTCCGTTTGATTGCATAGAAAAACAAAATACATACGATACTTCGTTTCAGTGAGAAAAGGAATGACTGAATGAATGAAATAAATAAATAAAATAAATAAGGCAAGATAAAAGCGTTAACGTCTCCTACCAATGTTTCCTAGATAATGGACTTTTCCGTTTTGATTGCGAGAAAATCTAAATGTAAAAAGAAAGAAGGCAAGATTGAAGTGTTTAACGGCTGCTTCAGTGAAATGGAAAAAGTCAATTTCAATTTTTTCATTTGTAACCCTTCTGAAAATAACGACCAACATTCATATTAATGATTGTTATTGCAATATTTTGTTCGAAATCGTTAAGTTTAAATATTTAACAATGAAGTAGAGGAATTTCTACAGACATTTTATTGTCGTAGAACTCGTCATGAACATGCTCACTCATTAGCTGAAGAATAAAGATTGCTCAGAAGATTAAAATAGGAAAACCGTGAAATTTTCACGGGCCTTTCTAGTAAGTATTATTAAGCTTCTAAAATCTGCGATATCTTATCGGTTTAAATAACATAAAGTTTATCTGCCGCTGTTCCTTGCTACCTTTCGCTTGACGTTATCGCTGACTTCTGAAGCCGCTTGCTAGCAGCTACTGAAACAACTTGAGTTAATTAGTAAAATATTTTCTTTTATTTTCCTTCCTTCAGATGATTCTACTTTCTTTTGTTTGACTGAGTTATGTTCCACTCGTTGCTCGAAATAGCCTCGTTGCGCAACCAGAAATCAAAAAAACGAACAACAGGTAAAAAAAAAAACAATGCAGTCTTTGCCAGCAAACTGAACAACTTACAATTTCAGGAGGAGCTTTTCTCTTCAAAGTCGTGGCTCATATGATAAACACATTGTGTTTCAAATCACCGCAAAGCAAAAAAGCTAAGATTTTTTTAAAGTTTATCTTTTGAAGATAATTTTTTTTTCTATTTCTTCTTCTTCTTCTTCATACGACTTCTTTTCTTTTTCTTCTTTTTTCTTCCTTTTTTTTCCTTTTTTCTCCTTTTTCGTCTTCCTTTCTTTTTTCTCTGTCTTTTTCTTTTTCCTATTCTTTTCTTTTTTCTTTTCTTCTCACGTGTTTTTCTTTTTTTCTTCTTCTTTTCTTTTTTCTCTTTCTTTTCTTCTTATTCTTCCTTTTTCATTTTTCTTACTTCTTTTTTCATCTTCCTTTCTTTTTTCTTCTTACGTGTTTTTCTTTATTTCTTTCTTCTTTTTCTGCCTTTCTTTCCTTCTTCTTCTTTTCATCTTTTCTTTTTTCTTCTTTTCTTAAGTGTTTTTCTTCTTTTTTCTTCATCTTTATGCTTGTCTCTTAAGAACATGGGTGACCATGGCTCTCTACAACACCCTAGCTCTTGTTGCCTTTAGCTGTTTTTCTCCCTCTGCTAAGTCTAGCGACGCTCCTTCCGCTATCGATTCAAACAAGCTTGTCAGGTAGTTGGCTCGCTGCCTTCCCTTTCCCTCAGTATACCCGAAATTTACCTTAACCCCCACTGAGTCAGTTTGTGACACAAGGTCGGTTTGTAAAATAGCGTTTTCACCATGAGCGATAATAGTCAATTTGCATAAATTTTTTTTTAAAAAGCATAATTAAATAAATATAGCTTCTGTGTCATTAATTTTTAAATTAAATTTTAAAAATTGCCATATATAAGCAATGCTTCTGTCAACAACATTCTTGGCAATCTACGGAATTATTAAAGATCTATCCAGTGTAGATAGCTATATCTAAGTGGTACATTAAAATGTTGAATAAAAGTGATCTTTTATATAAACCAAACTGTATTAACATTTACATAGATTGGGATTAAAAGTGTAAGTACCTTGTCTATATGTTAATCTGTTTAATTAGATTTTCTTAAAAATGTACCAAATTATTTAAACAAGTCAAAAAACAGTATCTGTTTATATTTCTGAGATGAGGTATTATGTACACTATTTACATTATTCGGTCTATTCTCCTCATCTTTGTCACCATATTTATTACAACGTTTCGGCCGTTGTACGCTCCGGCCTTCTTCAGGTGGTTGGAATGTCGAACTGAACCCTTTATTTCGCTCACTGGGGTAGACTGTTCTAGTTTCACGTGCCATGTTTTTAATGGATGTTATCAGTTATCTCAAGGACACATGGCAGAGTGGATAGAGGCGTTGGTTAGATCCAGTGACAGGACCCAAAGAGTGTGAGTTCAATATCCGGTTAAGGCAGTGGAGAACTTGGAGAGGGGAATTAACAGGAGATAACTGACATTCATTAGACCTGGCACGTGGAACTAGAACAGTCTACCCCAGTGAGCAAAATAAAGGGTTCAGTTTGACATTCTGAAGAAGGCCGGAGCGTACAACAACCGAAACGTGATAAATATGGTGACAAAGATGAGGACAATAATGTAAAAAGTGAAAAACAGTAATCTTTCTTGAATTGATGTTTTAGAACTATTATTAATATAAACATTAGAAAATTATTCAAATAATGGTTAGTAGTTAGGACGTCGGCAGTGGATCGAGCTGATCGAAACCCATACTGCTCGTCGCTAAAGAGGTTGTTCTTTTCTAGGTGCACGTCGGCCTTCTTATTGATTATGGCCTCAAAAAGCTTACTGAGGGAGACTGGAGGGTCTGTACTGGGAGGGGAAAGACCACACGCCCGCGTTCTTGAAAACCGGGCATACGCTTGACACTTTCAACAGGCTTGAGAAGGATTTCTCCAAGCAGCGGCTGAATAATTAGGATTTGGGATAATTCCGGCTTGATATTCTTGAATTTTGTCTGGTTGAGTGGCTTTCTTAAGATCAAGGCCCCTGATAAGTCTAGAGACTCCTCGTGCTGTAATTGTAATATTACTGAGAGTGCGCAGTGAGACGTGGTTACTTGGGCAGGGGATGGAATTTTTTGTCTAATGTTGAATCAGAGGCAAAGATTGAGGCCAAGACGTTCGTCTTATCTCTCGAGGAAGATATAGCCTCGGGGCCATTTATAATCGTAGACACAGACGCTGTACCTCACTTCATGATTTGGTTGCTGATCTTCCAGAATTCACGATATCCAATTTGTTTCTTTTCAAACTTGGTCTGGACTGATCGTGCGTAGCTGCACTTGGCATTTTCTGGAACTCTTTTGCAGCAATGGTGGACAGTTCTGAATGAAGTAAGGGCCAACCTACACCGCTCCTTTCAAAGTTGAGGTTACGGTGAGTTGACTGCAGCGAATTCAGGGGTGTACCAGAGCTGACTGTTTGGTTTTTGCTGGAGTTTTTTGTGGTATGAAACTCTCCATGCCAGAAAGAATTCAGTCCGTGATGAGGGCAGTAGTTTTGGAAGCAACATGTTTGAAGAAGACTGGGAGGGGAGTTTCCATCATGTAGGATCGAAAGATGCCCCAGTCTACCTTCGCATAGCGAAAAATCGTTTTATAGAACGGTACATCAGGAGATACCTTAGGTTTGGCATCAATCCGGACACAGATTAGGTAATGGTCTGGCGTGCATATGGGGGTAAAAATTTTGCTAAGCATGTATCAGGGTAGGAAGTTAGAAAGAGATCGAAGCGGTTTGTCTGATACCCTTTCGGTCCGGGACATAGGTAAGTTCTTTGATGGTCTGGGTTAGTATATAGGCGATGGAGAAATCTCTGCAATATCTGCCTTCGTCATCGGGTTTGTTGGATTGGACTAAGCATTCTTTATAGTGGATATTGAAGTCGCCGCTCTCTTGCCAGAAGAGGTGAGTAGAGCGGGTCTTTGAGCTCACCTTGGGCTTGAAGCGTTGAGACTGGTTTCAGAAAGTAACAGGAGACCTGATGTAGACTGAAAAAGATAGTGGTCTACTTCTGGAAAACTAGAACGTAAATCCCGCATGTTGGTACAAGGAATGGTATACCAGAGGTCTACTTTGTTTTTTATTTTAGGTTGGTTTTGCAGGATTTATTCATTTTCATTTTGATTGGTTTCATGTGTGTATTGGTTGGTGGAAGACTAGTAGGCAGTGAGACAGTCACAACCACAGGAGTTGCATGTATAAATAACTTGGAGATAATCATCCAGAGATAGATCCGTATCCTTCATCGAAAGACCCCACCGGTGACTACTGCATGTCCCAGAAACCATACGCTAAATGGCAATACAGTAGCCCCGATATTAATAGTACAGTCTGATAGGCTGATAGGACAGCCTCCCTCGTAAGTTCGTATTTCTAATTATTATGCAGATAACGCACATGCCCAGAAAACCTTTACCTCCAACACTTTTAATAAATGGACAATCAATCCAGGAAAGAAGATACATTCGTGATGCACCGTTGGACATGTCGCGTCTGCCCATAAGTCAAAGCAACAGAACTCTTCCTTGGCGTTGGAGTAAAATACACTATATTTGGCCAGCGCTATATCCGATAAGTGATTGCGCGGCCGAATATATTAGCATTCGATATTCTGGCTTCTATCTGAGCTGAAACCCTATTTCATCACCTGAAGAAGCTTCTTCTAGGAGCTGCGTCCCTTCAGGACCTGAGCGATCATTGCTCTTCATAATTCCCTATCTTTTGTAACTCATAGCAGTGGTTTTCATTTTACTATCACTCTTATTCTCTGTTCTGCTATCCATTTTCACAAGCTCGTTAACTAGGGCTTCCGACCACATCACGTTCTAACACCACTTTCCGTACGATAACCGAAGTTAAGCAACACTGAACCTGGTCAGTACCTAGATGAGAGAAAGCTTGGGAATATCAAGTGCTGTAAGCCTAGATGTGCAGGTGGTTTAAATGATAATGGCTCAGCATTATTAATCGGAGAGCCGAGATTCAATTCCAGTTTTGTTTGTTATATTCACTTAGGCGTAAATACCGTTCGAAAAGCACCTCTTCTCCTCCCAACTATGGGTTAATTAGTAAGACTTGTATCACTAAATCATTATTATCTAAAAAAATTCTCACAATATAAATATATTTCTCGCATTAAATAACCTACAAAAGGTTGCTAAGCCATAAAAAATGAATCTGTCAATCACTCGGTAGGTAGGTTACTCCCTGTTTCTTTATGTCCCTTGCCTTCTACACCTCTTGTGGCTTTCAAACCTTCGTAGCTTTTCAAGATCTGCAATATATTTTCTGTTTAAATGACATAACGTTAACTGCCAGTGCTCCAAGTTATCATTTGCATGTCGTTATCACCGACTTATGAAGCCTCTTCCCGACTCATTTAATAAGCAGATTGTGTGTCTAATCACTAGATGCATATGTAAGTTTCATGCTTTGCAATAAATATCTCTAGGGAATTCTTAACGACATATCTCTGTAGATAGCTATGACTAAGTAGTAATTTTAAAACTAATTGAAGAGCAAGCGATCTTTTATATAAACCCAGCTGGTATCTTAACGTTTACTTAGCTTGGTCGGGTGGGAGTAAACACATTGTGCTGGGCCAATCCTATATGCGAGGAGAGTTTGCATGCCCGAAAATATTAGCATTCAATAACCTGGTTTCATTTGGGTTCAAACACTGTTTAACCAATCAAGTAGGCTATATTTACTAAGATTGGTGAGCCATTTTTAATTACTTATTTTTAAACTTATTTTCTTTAGATTCTAGATATTTTTTTTAAGATGATATTCTTTCTACAGATAAATATAGTTAAATAGTACAGAAAAGAAATAGTTTTCTATATAAATCAAATTGGTCTGTTTCATAGTAAGCTTGTCTAGGCGAGTTTAGTGGCTAAAAAGTTAGTGACAGAGAGAGGTTGTGGTGGACAAGTTGGGGAGGGTTTCTTCTTTAATCATTTTAGAACCTTGGCGATGATGGCCCTCCACATCTTAAAAATCTGACATGCCTTAAAAATCAACTTTCGAAATTCAATTTTGTCTCTGCGTTCGAACACTGGTACGAATAGGAAAAAAAAACCCAACTCTCCTCTCACGAAACAGACCAGTCTAAATACACGAGAAAATGAAAGATTGCGTTGCATCTGCCTATCAAAGTATAAAGCTCTGCCTGCCGTGAAAATCCGCATTATCAATTGTGGCTTTTTGTATTTGGTCTCGAACGCCGACCATTTTGACAACGGAAAGTAAATAGCTATTTTTTCAGTCTAAGTACTTAACAGCTACCTTTAAATCTTTCTTTGGTTTATGCGTAGACTAATGGCTAGCGAGTATTTTTATAATATTGTTCACCAAATACACGACCCAAGAGCCACACAAGGTAGAGGGTTATTGAATGAATTTGTTGTAAGTGCATAAAAAGAGGAAATAATAAATGCATAATATGGGGGTATGAAG